CCATCGTACCGCGGTGGCGGCCAGCCGGAGCGGGCGGCGTCGCCCTCACCTGCGCCACCTCGGCCGGCTCGTGGTCGTCGCACAGGTCGCCCAGCTCCGGGTGGTGTGCCATGCTCGTGTTCAGGTGGTTCTTGCAGAGCGAGTTGGGACACTGGACGCACATCTGCACGGCCCGCTGTCCGCATATGTCGCAGTGGTGCCACGGACAAACCCACTTGCCTGCCGACGTGGGCCGCCGTCAGCGCGGCGACGACTCGGCGTCATCCGGGTCAAGGCCGACACTTCGTGCGTTCAGGGAGTAACGCATTCAACAAACACGGGATGTCGTTAGCGTTGTACAATGAGTGTTGCAATCAACGTCTAAGGCAAGAATACCACGAGGATGTGAAACGATTCAACAGACATAGCCACGAAACAAAAAGAAGTAAACCTAATACGAGTATTCTATTATCCACACTTATATTCTAAGTAGCAGGCAATAAGTGTTCTAGCCTGACAGTAGTACACGTATCTGGATACAGCTCACGATGGGGCAGAGGTCCGCCGTCCCTCTCACCGTAAGGGGCCCGGTCCAGCTGCAGACAGCTGGCGTGGTACGCCTTGGGGCAGTCGGCGAAGTCGCAGAGGATCAGCTGGCCGCCGAGGCCGCAGCGGAAGCAGTCGTCCTCGGAGCGCGGCTTGGCCGGCCGTCGCCGGCGGCGCCGCTTCGCCCGCTTCGTCTTGTCGTCGCGCGTCGTCTTCAGCACCTGCGCGGTGGGAGTGGCCGTCAGCGCTGGGTGGTGCGGCGGCGACGTTCGGCGCGCTGGCTGGTTGTGAGCGAGGGCCGTGATCTCGCACAGGACCCTGACCAACCTCTCGACCTCCAGTCCGTCCTGCACAACAGCCGCATTGACTGGATTCACTCACCTCCTGCAACTCTCCACCACAAACGATCACGAACCGGTAGTGGCACGGACGAAAACGAACATAAAATAAAACCCCGCCAGGCCCCACACCGCCCAGGCCATTTCCCGGCTTGCAGGCGAAACGCTCCGGTTGGATGTCATAGCGTCCAGCTGCTTTTACCCCGTCCGTGCGTGAGATAGCAGGGACACCCGACTCTGGCCGCACATCCCGTCCGTGCGTGAGATAGCAGGGACACCCGACTCTGGCCGCACATCTCGTCCGTGCGTCAGATACCAGGGACACCCGACTCTGGCCGGACATCCCGTCCGTGCGTGAGATAGCAGGGACACCCGACTCTGGCCGGACATCTCGTCCGTGCGTCAGATACCAGGGACACCCGACTCTGGCCGGACATCCCGTCCGTGCGTCAGATAGCAGGGACACCCGACTCTGGCCGGACATCCCGTCCGTGCGTGAGATAGCAGGGACACCCGACTCTGACCGGACATCTCGTCCATACACGGGGAGCACGGCTGCGGGACCCACCCAATGCTGACATTATTTTAATTCATTCCATGAACATTGAAAAACTGCTCACCCTTCTTGTCATTTAACTCTCTCAAGAGCACTCTATATGCTCTTAATCTGTCTGGTTACAGCTGGAAGCCTTCGGGAGATCATCCTTTGGGCCTGCACGTTACCCGAATATTCAGTCCTTTCATACCGTCACCCTTATTCCAAAACCTTTAGCAGAGCAGAGTGCCATCGCAGAAAGACTGAGAGAACACGCTCATCTGGAATTTAGTCAGAGCTCATGTCCTTTCGAGGTAGTTTCCCGAGCCTCTCTTCATTACAACTCGAGCCAAATCTGAACAACTAAAACACATGGTTCAACAGTAATTGCTGACTTGTTTGCTCTTATAGCCTGACGCGAGGCAAAACGCGACCTCAGCTGTTGAGAAAAAAAAAATGCCCACCCACTCTGATGTGGGCCAACCCACAATTCCAAATTATGAAGTGCAAGGCACCTAAACATCCATACAACACCCGTGACACTTGAGGATTCGGATTTGTAGGATTGGAATCGAGTTAAATATCTCAAACTAAATTATTAAATCTTAGTTAATAGTTGCAGTCATTGGGGCTTAAGGGTGCCTCGGCCGCGCAGTCATATGGCGCCCATATATGGCATAAGCGCCCGTGATTAAATCTTAATAGCAAAGATTCATATGCTGAAAGGCAGGTTTTAACGTGTGTGAACAAGTAAAAATCGGCATCATCACGGATATCAAGCAAACGTGGATATCCGTATTTCAAATACTTTCTAGGCCAATATTGTCCTTCATAATCTAACAGAAAGATATCGGCATAGACTGGTTCGCCGTCGGACTAGGTCACAGGTCCTTTGCTTCATTGATCTATCGGTGTTATTCAAGGTTTAAATGCAGGACTGAATGCTATTTAATTAATTCAGAAATATATCAATGTTGAGTCCAAACAGAAACCAAAGTCCCCATATGCTAGAATTTGAATCACAGAATGCTGTAAAACCTCAGTTCTGACAAGCTTTCCTAGTCTATTTCCGATGCGCACCCATTCGGATACAAAATGTAACACCACTGGATTTCAAAAGCCTGCAGCATGCATCCACGTAATTCTTCAGTAGCCCATTTCCCGGTAGAAAACGAACAAAACGTTCACTGCTTGGCAACGTAACACTTGAACTCATCAAATTTAGACGTCTTTCTCTTTCGTTAGCTTCCCATCCGATGTCGTGGGGTCTAGACGATTGACTGCTCTCATGTGACCGAAATACCCAATATTTCTTTGTAAAATATGACGCGAAATCTTAAGTCATGTACAAGAATGCACAAATTACTGGCCGTAACGCACCTGTAGTGGTCCAAACACGCTTCTCGTCCCACATCTCACGGTTTGTAATCCTTCATCTCCATTCGCCCCATGAGTGGAGAAGCTACCCATCAGCGTGGGTTTCGCACTTCTTCTTCGTCTGTCATGTTCGCTTTCGGCGTCGGCAAAGCTCATAGCGTGGCCCCCTATGCGGGGTACCTCCGTCGGGGAACACTCCCTGGGACGTCACCCGCCCCACTGGGGAGATCCGCCTGACCGGTGCGGGGGTACCTCCGTCGGGGACACTCCCGGGGACGTCCCCGCCCCCACTGGGGAGATCCGGCCCGACCGGTGCGGGTACCATCCGGGGAACACTCCCGGGGACGTCACCCGCCCACTGGGAGATCCGGCCCGACCGGTGCGGGGTACCTCCGTCGGGGAACACTCCCGGGGACGTCTCCCGCCCCACTGGGGAGATCCGGCCCGACCGGTGCGGGGTACCTCCGCCGGGGAACACTCCCGGGGACGTCACCCGCCCCACTGGGGAGATCCGGCCCGACCGGTGCGGGGTACCGGGGAATACTCCCGGGGACGTCACCCGCCCCACTGGGGAGATCCGGCCCGACCGGATTCCCCGACAAAGCGCCGAAATCCCAACACTGTCTCTGCCCCGCCTCGGCCGACCGCACCACTACCTCCTCTCCTCTCCACTCCACTCCACTCCACTCCACTCCACTCCACTCCACTCCACTCACTCCACTCCTCCTCTCCTCTCTCGTCTCCACTCCTCTCCTGTCCTCTCCTCTCTCCTCCCTCTCCCTCTCCTCTCCTCTCCTCTCCTCTCCTCTCCTCTCCTCTCCTCTCCTCTCCTCTCCTCTCCTCTCCTCTCCTCTCCTCTCCTCTCCTCCTCTCCTCTCCTCTCCTCTCCTCTCCTTCCTCTCCTCTCCTCTCCTCTCCTCTCCCCCCCGGTCGGACTCACTTTGAGCGCCTTGTCTCCCAGGTAGCCGCTGCAGTGGGCGCTCCGCACATGCACCGCTTCTTGGCCGTGCCGACACAGTCGAAGTTGTAGTTGAAGTTGAGTTCCTCGCCGGCCGGGATGTCGGTGATGGCGAACAGCCCCACCCGAGTCTCAGAGTTATGGTCCACTTCTGCGTCTCGCAGTTGGGCTGGCAGCAGTGGTTCATGAACCTGCCCAACCGGTGGGGAGGGAGGGAGACGGGCGTCAGCAAGACAGCCATGGAAGTGGGCAATCAGAAGATAACATTTTTAGAATGCATTAAAATCATCTCACATTAACAGTTAATGTAATATATGTATGTAATGTAATGTATGTAATGCAACAGTTAATGCAATAAAATAAAAACAATTACTGTCCTTCCCTACATCCCCCTCCCCCAACCGAACCAAACCCCTGGGTCACCACTGCCCACCACGTGGCGCCACTACCACTCAGTCGCTGGCGCGGCAGCAGAATACCGTACTACAGGAGCTTGACACCGGCGGCCAAGGCCTCCCAGCACTCCACCCTGACCCAGCGGATCGGCCGTCCGCCGCCGTCCCAGTCCGACACCGGCGACCAGGGCTCCATGCACTCCACCCTGACCCAGCGGGTGAGCCGTCCGCCGCCGTCCCAGTCCGACACCGGCGACCAGGGCTCCCAGCACTCCACCCTGACCCAGCGGGTCGGCCGTCTGTCGCCGTCCCAGCCGTACACCGGCGACCAAGGCCTCCCAGCACTCCACCCTGACCCAGCGGGTAAGCCGTCCGCCGCCGTCCCAGTCCGACACCGGCGACCAGGGCTCCCAGCACTCCACCCTGACCCAGTGGGTAAGCCGTCCGCCGCCGTCCCAGCCGTACGCCGGCGACCAAGACCTCCCAGCACTCCACCCTGACCCAGCGGGTAAGCCGTCCGCCGCCGTCCCAGTCCGACACCGGCGACCAGGGCTCCCAGCACTCCACCCTGACCCAGTGGGTAAGCCGTCCGCCGCCGTCCCAGCCGTACGCCGGCGACCAAGGCCTCCCAGGACTCCACCCTGACCCAGCGGGTAGGCCGTCCGCCGCCGTCCCAGCCAGGGGCAGCGTCATCCCTGCAGAGCCGCCCCGCCCGGCCGCCCACCTGGCTTGATTGCCCTTGGGCCCGGCATCCAAGATGCGGTCCTTGTCGACGGTGAGGAAGTAGTAGTTGTCGTCCTGCATGCGGTGTTTGTACTCGACGCGCCGCTGCAGCTCCGCTTCGCTGATCACCTCTCCCACGTACTCGATCACGAAGTCGCCTGGGGCCAGCCGGTCGCACGTGACGCGCGCGCTCCGGGCACTACTCGTCACTGGTCCACTGCTCAGACAGTACAGCCACCACGCCATGCCGTCCCCCCCCCCCCCCCCCCCGCTCCCTCCCCGCCCGGCCGCCTAGCCACCCTACTATGGTATGGTAGCATGGTAGGGCCACGAGATCACGGTGTAATGGAAAATGTGGCCACAGGGTAACCTAACTGACCCAGCTATTGTTAGCGTACCCACGGCAACGTTTTCGTTTTTTTCTGCTTCTTCTTAACTGACACCACGTGCACGAGAACCGCTTCCTTAAAATTAAAGTACCCCAGGTCAAACATGCAAAGAAAGCCTGAACCGGGGACGCGCAGTTGATCTTGGCTACCGCATCTGAACCCAATCCAAGGCTACAGCGATGAAGAAGTTGCAGAGATCCGCGGAATACAGACATCGCGCAGTGCAATGACTCAACCCTCCAAGCACGCCTGTCTGACACTAGCCAGACGGCCCCCATGCATCGCTAATGGCTCCTGACGGCGGCTGGAATAAACGTACGGCGCCGCCGACGGCCAGCACGCGGCGCCGACAGATCGGCACGTGACGCCCGCACAGGCCGCTGGCGACGGACCTTTTTTCAGGTCGACGAGCGCGGCCAGACCCCAGCCCTTGTCGCTGGTGCGCACCACCTGCAGCGGCGGGTAGAGTCGCTTCTGGAAGCGCTGGTTCAGGCAGCGCTCGCCGG